GTTTTATAAAGAATTACATTGCAATAATAAATTTTCTTACATTTACAAATATTTTATTCCTTTTTTGAGACTTCTTAATGTTGCTGTATTTCCTGTGATTATAAGTTTCTTTGTTTCTGTAAAAGGGTTAACAGCCCTTGGAATTATGCTGACCTTAATCTGTGTGGAGTCGACATCAGGTAGGCAGAAAAAATGTAAAACAAAGGCTTGACCATAAAGCATAGAAACAAAGTCAGCAATTTTTTGCTGACCTCAAACATTTTTAGGTCTGCAGTTGGGTCAGTATTGCTGAATGCCGACCTTAATTCATTGTTGTAATTTTTAACACTTTCACTTCACAAATTTTAGAAGTAAAAGTTGTAAGTACCATAAACACCTTTTTTAAATTGTTAACTTTATTTCATAAACCAATGAGACAAGTTGTTGATTTAACAGTAATCATTGATAGCCCAGTCCTCCAAATTAGTAATTCTCTTTCATATTCAGGAATATCCTCAATAGATTCAACTCCAAGCAAAGTTTTTTATGTTGTGTAATGACATTTGCTTTTTAGCTTGACTCCAAAGGAGCACTGTTGACTGTTTTTTTTTACTCATTAAATTTTTCTGTTTTATTTAATTAAAGTTTAATATTTCAAAATGCGAATTGCCATGGTCATTGTGTCTAAAAAAATTACTTTGGGCATGGATGAACAAGGCGTTCAATCGCACATATTTCCCAGGAAGGCATGCTGTTATAGTCTTGCAGAAGTGTTCTCTGGAGTTGTCATCTGTACTTTCAAAACTATTTAATGAGTGCTTATCAGAGTCTTATTTTCCAGCCTGCTGGAAAGTGGCATCTGTTATTCCTATTTTCAAAAATTCTGGAGAGCGATCTGACTTGTCTAATTACCGTCCCATTAGTCTTCTTTCTTTCATAAGCACGGTTTTTGAGTCTTTAATTAACAAACACTTAATCTCTTATCTTTTATCTAATAATTTACTATCTGATCTTCAATATGTATTTTGATCTTCTTGTTCTACTGCTGATTTGTTAATAGTATGAACTTATAGATTTTATTGCGCATTAGATAGATGTGGAGAGGTTGAGGGTATTGCTTTTGACATTTCTAAAGCCTTCGATAAAGTTTGTCATGCTGGTCTTCTCCATAGGTTTTCTTCTTATGGCGTAACATTTTTAAGACTATTTGATCCTTTCTTACCAATTGTAGTATAAAAGTTGTCCTCGATGGACAGCACTCTTCTTCAATTCCTGTAACATCAGGGTTTGTCAAGGTTCTATCCTTGGTCCTAGACTTTTTTAAATTTACATTTGTGATTTCCTAGAAATCTAAGGTAGCATTGTTTGCTGATGATACTACTAATTATTCTTATCTTTATAAGAAGCCAACATTCTCTGATTGCTTGGAGGGAGCATTTGAGTTTAAAAGGGATCTCACTTCTACTACAGCATGGAGCTCTTAGTGGCTGGTGAACTTTAACTTAGATAAAACATATTTATATCTGTTTAGATCTTCTTATTTTTATGAACGTAATTGTACTTGATGAGTCATCTACCTTTTGTCTTTTAGGATTAACTCTTATCATATAAACCATATATCAAATCCATTGCAAAATTAGCATCTGCTAAGATTACATCTCTTTATCGTGTTCACCATATTTGTACTCTAGATTATATACTTTATCTCTATAAATCTCAAATCCGTCTTTGTATGGAATACTGTTGCTTTATCTGGAGTGAATCTTCGAATGATGCCCTTTCTCTTTTGGACTAGGTGCAAAAATGCATTGTAAACATAGTTGGACATGCTCTTGCAGCCAACCTCTAACCATTGTCACATCGTTGTAAAGTTGCTTTTCTTTCTCTTTTCTATAAATACTATAATGGGAGCTTAACAACTGAGAAACAGATGTGAATTATACATCAATAACATAAGATATAATACCATGACACCTAATATTAGTTTTTGAAGAATTTCTTCATAATATTACTACACAATTTTACTAGATAAATCTTGAATTAGTTGATTGAGTCTGCTTCTGTAATTTTGTTTGTCAAGCTATTCCATGGATTAATTAGTCTGTTAGAAAAATGTGAAATCTATACTTGCTTTTACAAAAGAGTTTATTTAAAATGTGTTTGTTTACAAAAAGTATTTTTTGCCTACGTAGGTTGAATCCACTGAGTAATTCATAATTGTGTTCAATTTTTTGAATTGCTGGATCAAATCATGTACAAATGTGTGGACCAAATGTGGATATACAAACATTGTGTATATTTTTTTAACCATATTTATATGAATGTTTGACTCCCAGGATTATTGGAAGTTTGACCACCAGGATTGAATTAGCTTTAAAAATTGCTGTATTAATTTGCAAATTAATACAGAAATCTGATTTAATTATGATAATTATTTAATTATTCATAAAACTATGATCCTGTTCAAAATCAATTATTTTTATGATACATATCAGAATCATGCATTACATAAGTGGTTCTATGATTATTTTTGTCAATATGCACAACTTTGTATTTATCATTATTGAATTTTGAGTCATTTATTATGTGTGTTATTTTACTTTTATCTGTATATCTCTTTGAAATATTATTCATTAAACTGTAACACATAAAAATTAGATTGTCATAAAGTTTGTTTACATTATAGGATAATATTGCAAAAAAAACAGCTGATATGTTAAAATTGCAAATAAGATAGTCAACTTATACAATAGTTTTTCAACTTATGGTCCAAACTTAAAAAAACTAGAAAAATATAATTAAAGTGTATTAAGTCTATAATTAAAAGATATTTTTAAATTGTTAGCAATTACAAAAGCAAATTTTTATTTTTTGTTTTAATGATTTTTTAAACACTTTTTATTTTTTACAATTGCAGATCATAAATGCGGTTACTGTAGCCTGCTGCCTAATCTTTTAAGTGGGTTTGGATGGAATCCAGGCCATAAATTAATAAAATGGTTTGGAGAACAGCTTAAAGAAAGAACTGGAAATGCTGATATAACTTTTAGAGAGGTTTATTAAATGATAAAAATCTTGTATTATTCTATTATTTGCCAAATATTTTTATTACTTTAATCATCATCATCATCATCATCATCATCATCATCATCATCATCATCATCATCATCATCATCATCATCATCATCATCATCATCATCATCATTGTCATCATTATCATTATCCTAGTTTCTGACTCGTGAAAGTTTTTAACATTACATTACTTTTGTTTTGTTACAGGTTCTGCAAAGATTTAATCGTGAGCTCTGTATTGTTGTTACGAATTTAAATCAAATGTCAACAGAGTATTTTCATCCTAAAACTACACCAAACACGCCAATAAAAATGGCTGTTCGTATGTCAATGGCATTGCCAGGTTCGGTGTTGCAAGCATTTTTGTTTAGAAATTTTATATCTATTTGATATTTAAGGTTAATATACTCCATATATAACAATAATTAAGCGAAATAAATTACATAATATGAAATATATATACTATATATATTGAACATAAAAAGTATATATACTACATATAGTAAATTTTTAGAAACATCAATGTAAGCATTTCTTTTAGATCAAAAATATTTATTTGATAGTCTTTTTTGAGATGGTTTTGTTGTTTACAATTGGAAAATATTTTTTGATTGCTCCATGATTGAGCTCATTGGGTTTTTAATATTTTAAAATTAAAAATTGTTACTTTTTTTTCAGAGGAGTTTCTCCAGACAATGCCATCACTTTTTTCTTTTCTACCACTAAAATTTAAAGACTTTTTTAAAATAATCAAAATTTGTAATGCTGGAAACATAGACTAGTTTGTAAAATAATCAAAATTTATGGTGTTGGAAAAGTTAACAATTATTTATTTATTTTTTTATATCTTATGTAGGCTTTGAGTCTGTAAGTTTGCTGTTTATTTACTCAAATAAGTATTATAATGGCTAATGACTTAAGAACATAATCCATGGTGTTGGCTACTAATGATTTTACTTAACTTTATGCTTTGTACCATAATTTTTTTAAATTGTTAGGTTTAATAGTCTAGAATAGTTATAGAAACAGCATATTACAGTTTTAAGAAGAACCTAAAAACAGAACAATGTGAAACATTTTGTGTGGGATGGCTTTTTTTTTTATTTCTGTTCCAAACCTTATTATTCCTAATCAAGATATTTTACATAAAGTGTTAGCTTCTGCACTCACTTATTTTGCAACTCACTTATTTTGATATTATTTTGCAAGCAGTATACAAATATATGGATATCACCAAGTCATATATTTTTGTTATTGTTGCTCATTTGAATATGGAACACTTATACTTGATTAGCTTTTTAAAAGCCCGTTAACTACAGGTGTTAATAAGCAATTCATGTGTTGTTAGAAATAAAACTTGCTAGTTTTTAAAGATTAACAATTTATTACCATATTCTTCTGTAAGATGAATGTAATACTAACAAAATAGATTATTTCTATCTTTGTATTTTATTTTACATGCTTGAAATTCTTATACTTTTATATATCTCATATTTTCTAAAATTTTTTTGTGTTTTTATGTTTCTTTCATAGTTTTATATTTATTATATATTCTTTTATTTGGTATAAACTCTTATATTTTTTAAAGTTTGAGATAAAAGTTTTATATATTAATATATTATTAAACAATACATATTTAACATATTTACATATCGCTAAATAAACAATTTTTTAGATTTTTTAGATTTTTTTTTTTTAATTATTCACCTCCCCAAGGCCCGAGGGGGCAACTACAGTCGAGGAGGCTACTCTTTTTTGTTGTTGTTGTTGTTGTTGTTGTTGTTGTTGTTGTTGTTGTTGTTGTTGTTGTTGTGAATCGTGGTACAACCCTTTCTCAACTCTTTAACTCCAAAACACGAACCTTGACAAGCAAGGCCGCTTTGCTGAGAAATTCAGTTGAGCGCGGTACTTCCAGGGACGTGGTGGGAGTTGAACTCCGAACCTCTCGCTTACAAAGCGAGCGCTCTTACCACTACACCACTCCATATATTAGATTTTATACCATTATTTTATACCATTATGAATAATAAAATATATAATAATAAAAGAAATGTAAAATATACAAAAAAAAAGTTCTTATGGAAATGAATGAAAAATTTTTTAAAGTTGTTTATATAGTTGAACACCAAATTTTTTTTTGTTACTTTCCAGTTAGAGAATTAAGGAATGACAAAAGAAGTTCTAATCTGAGAGGATGATATATGATGGAGAAGATAAAACATTTTTTCAATTTGTATTTTTACAGGTGTTTTCCAAAGTGTTAAATATGTAAATGATGAAAATACTGATGTTTATGTTGATGGCGGACTGTTGTGTAACTACCCAATTCATGCTTTTGATGGTTAGTTATTAATTTGTTTTTGTAATTTTTTAAGTCCTTTGTGTTTTTTTTTCCGCAAAAAAACAACTGTTGTTATATTGATAATTTTGAATAAACAGTTTTTAAATTGTAAAAGATTATAAAATTTTTATTACTTGGTTATAAGGTTGGTGGTTGTCCATGGACCCGCATGATTCATTTTTTAAAAGATTACAGCCACTTGATAATTATGCAAAATTGTTTTCCAAAAATGAACGATTTGGATCTTGGAACCCCAGAACTATTGGAATTATGTTGGTAAGTTATTTTTTTATAAGTTATTTTTTTACAAGTATAACTTTTATTTTGCTTTTATTATAATTTATGCTTTTTATTATGGAGGTCAAATATAATCAAATACGTAATTCCTAAAAGTTTTTTTAAAAAAATTTCATTAAAATGTTTGTTTTGAAAAAAAGAAATTAGGAATAACCCACAAATAAGTTTTTAAAAAATATTTTAGTACTCTAGATCAGAAACTGAGTTAATGAAAACAAAACTTGCGCAGCGTGATGGCAGCCAACCTCCTCCACCTGTAAATTCCAAGTTGTATAAGTAAATTTTATTTACAATTATTTTACAACTTTATTTAAAAACATTTTATACCAAATATTAAAGAATTATTATTTTTTTTTTCATTTAAATTAATTAATATAAAAAGTGTATTATAAAATATCTGTTACCAAGGAAACGAAAAAAGATTCTCTTGAATCAAAAAGCAGCCAGTGAAGAACATCTTGCTGTTGTAAATGCTATTGGACGTTTTATGAAAGTATGGTTTTTGTTTCAATCTAAATTATTGCATTGTATTTTGATATTCTTAAATATATTTTTTGTTTATTTTATTTATTTGATAACTTAGAGTTTGAATTAATTTTGGCTTAACCTTTTTATCACCATAACATCAAAGTTAACATTTTGGCATAAAAGTTGAACATAAACACATGCAGTAATTCAGTGGTATAGTATATACCGCTTTTCCATATATCACATACCACTTCTCCATTATAGCATATAGCACTTCTCCATTTTATTAAATTCCACTTCTCTATTATATCACATTCTACCAATATTCTCTAAAACCGTAAAAATGCTGCATTGCCTGTCGCATTTGTCAACAAAAGACAAACCTGGCATTATTTGTCTGAGGTGAGTCATTTGTCAGAAACAAGTTATTGGACAGTGTCAAGTATTTTATAGTGACCAGGTTTAGTCCTAATTTTGGTCAACCCCCCTATAAAGTAGCTGTTGATAGTGCCAGTATGAGGAAAGGTGTGGGAATATAGGTTGGGTTAGTTAATTTGGGTTAAGGCAAGGTTAAGCAAGATTGTAGAGATAAAAAGAAGGCTTAATATATTCTGCCTAAGAAAAAGTTAAGCAAGATTGTAAAGATGAAAAGCATATTCTGCCTAAGATTGTAGAGATAAAAAGAAGGCTTAACATATTCTGCCTAAAAAAAGGAGTGCTAAGATTGTTGGATATGACAATTGTTGGTACAAATTCTTCTAGGTTGGATGTGAAGAAGTAGAGTCTGATGTTTTAGTATCAGAAAAATTAATTACTTATCTAGATAAGATAAAATTGAGTGAAAGAGTAATGATATTAAAGGTCAGTGCTTGGTACTTATAGTTTCAGTACATGCACCTCAAACAGACAAGAGATAAAAATAATTCTATACTTTTCTTTGTAATGTTGGGCAAAATGTTGGGCAAAATAAGAGGCTGTTTGCATGTGTAAACAAACTTGTTGGTGTTGCCTAAAATTGTTTTTAGGAAATACATGGTAAAAAAAAGATTTAGCCTAAGAAATATTGAAGAAGAAATGTTGTTAGAATTTTCAGCTTTTACGGGAAAGACAGTCTGTAATACATGGTTTACAAAAAAAGATAAAAAAAGAAAAAAACTTAAGTTATAACAAAATGAGAAACATTGTATTAAAAAATTGTCGTTTCTCAACATGTTGTTTGATTTTAGACCAGGAAAGGGAACAACAGATGAAATATTTTAAAGCAAGTTCAAATTTTTACTAAAAGAAAAAATGATCTGTGAATGGCATTAGTGGACTTTAAAAAAGATTTTGACAGAATACCGAGGGAGATAGTGTTGTGGGTTTTTTATGGAGCTGTTTTATGCAAATGGTTTATATCTGATTGCAGAGATTCAATAAGAATTGAAAAGTACTAAGACTTTTGTGTTAGAAAGGTAGATTAGAAGCAAAAGGGCTTAGGATAATCAATAGGACAAAATTATGGAAAAATAATATTACTTAAATATTACCATAAAAACTTTTAAAATTAACCAATAGTTAAAGGACCGTACAGACAGTTAAATAAGCAAAATTGAATTCAAAATTTTCTTAAATGAGTCAATAAGTTTGATTTCATAACAGATATCCATTTGATTTAATAACAGGTATCGCATTTGATTTTGTAACAGATATCTCATTTGATTTCAACAGAATAGATAGAAAAAGTTTTTTAATGTTTATAGGTTTTTAAGCAGTTTTCATCAAGCAAAAGTTTTTTTCTGTTTTTTTAATTTTATTTTATTTGCTCAAGTTTGTTATTGCAAAGTTATTTGCAGACAAATTGCTTGTCTAACCTGGAGCAAAAAAATTTAAACAGTGTTTAGATTAGACAGTAATGTTTTTTCGTTAGTTTTTTTAATATTTTTTTTAAACAATGACTGTTTATTTTATTTTATTTTTTAGACTAAATTTGAGTTTAGCTCAAAATAAAATATAAATTTTTTACAAAAAATGTTTATATTTTTCATTTTATTTTTTTATTTTTTGTATAATATTGTACTATATTTTTAAGGTGGGGTTGCATTTGAAAATTAATTTAAAAATTAAAAGACAAGTTGTAATTTCATTATTTAAAAAACTTACTAATTGTAAACAAGTGTGTTTTCTTATTTTAGGAACTTCATAGGATGAGTGTGTTTTCTTATTTTAGGAACTTCATAGGATGAATTTTGACTTAGATGGCATAGTCAGCTTGAGAGAATTGAAGAAAGTATTTGAAGTGGTTAGTTTCATTTTTACATTAATACGTAATATTATCACTGTAAATGTAACAATGTTAAAGCACATACCAAACATTTTAATCTTGTTGTTTACTCTTAACTAAATCTTGCTTAACTTTTTTTAAATTTTTTAAAAATTTTTTAAGTTTTTCATAATATGTTATGTATAGAAGTATGTAAATTATTTTTTTATCATTACCTATTTTTAATGTCATGGACAATAGGAGTTGGGCGCACATTGATCTCCAGAAATTTTTAGTGATCTCCAGAAAATTTTTTTCTGAGAATCGCACAGCAATCAGAATTTATCAATTCTTATATGTGATTTTTTACCATAACTATTATGTACGCCTGGGTAAACAAACTAAAATTTTAGTTTATAAAGTTTATTATCATATATATATATATATATATATATATATATATATATATATATATATATATATATATATATATATATATATATATATATATATATATATATATATATATATATATATATCTATATATATATATTATATATATAATATATACATATTTATATTATATATATATTTTATTATATATATATATATATACATATATATATATATATATATATATATATATATATATATATATATATATATATATATATATATATATATATATATATATATATATATATATATATGTATATATAATATTATATATATTATATATATATAATATATATATATATATATATATATATATATATATATACATATTTATATATATACATATATATATATATATATATATATATATATATATATATATATATATACATATATATATATATATATATATATATTATATATATATATATATACATATTTATATATATATATACATATATATATATATATATATATATATATATATTATATATATATATATATATATATATGTATATATATATAAATATGTATATATATATATATATATATATATATATATATATTATAATATATATATATATATATATATATATATATATATATATATATATATATATATATATATATATATATATATGTATATATATACATATATACATATATATATATATATATATATATATATCATAGCAAATATATATATATATATATATATCATAGCAAGTATATATATATATATATATATATATATATCATAGCAAATATATATATATATATATATCATAGCAAATATATATATAGCAAGCAATAAGGGAAAAATTTTTCTACTAGTTTATACAAATTTATTTCTTGAAAATATTTTATAAAAGCCAATTTGTTGACAATTCAGGTCAATGCTCTTAGCAAGCCCACATTAAATTGAAATCCAAATTGTTGTTCGATAATGTTTGATAATCTTCAATCTACTACCTTCAATCTACTACCTTCAATCTACTACCTTCTCAACAGCAGATTTTATTTATTTAACAAATTAATTGTAGTAATAGTTTTCTATTTAATTTTTTTCTGAGAATCGCACAGCAATCAGAATTTATCAATTCTTATATGTGATTTTTTACCATAACTATTATGTACGCCTGGGT